TACATACGAAAGAACATTCAAACGAATAAACTAAAGTTAAAATACGTTGAAATAACAAAGTTATCCCAGGACCGTTTAATTAACAAAACATAGAAGAAAATGTAAATAAACATGTTACTCACCTCAGAAGTCAGTGTCTGTAATACCACTTAAAATTATTATAACTTTATAAACTTTGAAAGTAAAATTGGACAGTCAGCTCGTGCTGCTATATCTTGGAAAGCCGGTTTTAAGAAGGGCGGAAGCCTAAACTCAGGTATATAAATACAGGTAATGTAGAGGTACCAAAGAGGGTGTTCGAAGGGGTCCAGAATGGGAAAACTGAAAGAAACTACGGAACAACGTTAGAACAAATATCACAGTAAATTTAAAATACAAACAAGACAAATAAACAATACAACACCGTAAATGTGACAGATAGCAAAGTGGCAGACTTTATAAAATTGTGACTCAACGTTGAAAATGTGAGCAAAATTTTGTGTAGAATTGCATAAAACGAGAAATGGTGCATATCATATCTAAGCAGCAAAGAATACTTACGATTTCTTTATATCTTACGGATTACTTATTTATGTTATTATCGTTCAAAAAATATACGAGTTTATGTTATTTATCTTTAATAGGCTAAATATTCACAAGTCGGCCAATAGTCGCCCGATCATCGAGCCCTGAGCTATAGTTTGATTTTAACCGTCGGCCGAAATTTTGGACACCCTTATTGTCGAACGACGGACGACCGACTTAATAAACTGACCGCCGATGGTCGGACGATGATCGAAGGTTGGTCGACGGATAACTTAAATTGAAGAAATCGGCCACCGACGCAGAAAAAATTATAACTTAGATCGATGGACACAAAATTGGTCGGCCGACAAAAAAGAGGTCAAAATAATCGGGCAAGACAATGCGGTGAACTGCCGACTGTCACCCGAAGAATCCAATTTTTGCTTCAAAACCTGTCGGCCGTTGGTCGTTTTTTGAAATGTGACTGGTGTTCTTGCCCCCCCCCCCCCCCCAACACTTTTTTTGCAAATATATACATAATATAGGCATTGAAAATTGGGGTTTACATTTTTTTTTTTGGCTAAGCCCCCACTTTCAATTTGCCCCCCCCCACACACTTTCAATTTGCTTCCGACGCCTATGGTCGAACCATGTTTAATATTTTTTTTTTGCGTCGGTGGCCGATTACTTTAATTGAAGTAGTCGTTGACCAGTCCGTCGACCAACCTTTAATCATCGTCTGACCATTGGCAGACAGTTTGTTAAGTCGGTAGTCGGTTGGTCGACATTTAGAAATTGGGGTTTCGTAAATGTTCCGACCGTGAAAATCAAGCTGCGGCTTAGCGAACGATGAACGAGCGACTGTTGGACGACATTGAAACATTTTTATGTGACTTCTCCACGTCGCCTGATACTACTGTCGGATGATCATGTTTTTCAGCCGACGATATGAGAAAAATTTGGTCGCCCGACCATAGGCTTATCATGCTTATGTGACCTAGGTTTTACTCAGTTAAACCCCAGTCACATTTCGAAAAGGGACCAGCCGCCGACGGTTTTTGAAGCAAAAATGGGATTCTTCGGGTGACAGTCGGCAGTTCATTGGTCGTTGTCTTGCCCGATTTTGACCTCTTTATTTGTCATTCGACCAATTTTGTGTCCATCGGTCCAAGTTAAAATTTTTTCTGCATCGGTGGCCGATTTCTTCAATTTAAGTTATCCGTCGACCAACCTTCGATCATCGTCCGACCATCGGCGGTGAGTTTTTTAAGCAGGTCGTCCGACGTTCGACAATAAGGGTGTCCAAAATTTCGGCCGACGGTTAAAATCAAACTGCAGCTCAGAGCTCGATGATCGGGCGACGATTGCCCGACTTGTGAATATTAAACCTATTAAGGACACATAACACAAGCGAAATTTTGATGCATGGATTGCTATATATATACTTTTTGAAGGGAAATAACATAAATTATCAATCCGTACGATTTAAAGAAATCTTAAGTATTCTCTGCTTCTTAGATATGCGCCATTTGTTAAATTCAGTTAAAACCCCAGTCACATTTCCAAAAACGACCAAAGGCCGACGGGTTTTGAAGCAAAAATGGAATTCTTCGTGTGACAGTCGGCAGTTCATCGCAGTTGTCTTGCCCGATTTTGTCCTCTTTTTTTGTAGGCCAACCAATTTTGTGTCCATCGGTCCAAGTTATAATTTTTTCTGCGTCGGTGGCCGATTTCCTCAATTGAAGTTATCCGTCGACCAACCGTCGATCATCGTCCGGCCATCGGCAGTCAGTTTATTAAGTCGGTCGTCCGTCGTTCGAAAATAAGGGTGTCCAAAATTATAGCTATAATTAATTTTTTTGCAAGATTTCATGAGGTTCGCAGCACTTTTCAAATATCTTAATGCTTCTTGAGTTGATGTGTAAAAACTTGACAAGATACATTGATGGTATGCCCTTGCAATAAATCGATTTATTAGGGCCCTTCTATTACTTTTTCGATGAATCTGCATACAAACACACGACAGTATCGCTTGTCTGGAGAATGTGCGGACAGTATATAAATAAAATACTAATCAAAATAGACATTGCATCCAAGTAAACGGCCTTTTTTTAAACTGTAAATAATATTTTATTTGAGAACGAAAGACATTTTTCATTATACAAAATGTGACTTGATCAGCCTCTTACTGTGTACAAACTGCGTCATTTTTGCGATATGGCGTCACATTGACAAGCGCATTGCGATCGATGCATCGTTTATATACTGTTGTTTGGGATTTAACAAACGACAAAACTGCGTGTAATAGTAAGTTAGTATGTAGTATACAGCTATCCAGCTATTTGAAATAGCAAATAATTTCATTTTGTGGTATTTTAATGACCTTATATTATGTGTGACGTCATAGTAAATATTTCCCGTATAAATTAGACCCCGCCTCCTTGCTGTAACCTTAACTGTGCTGCGTATTAAATGTAGATCTTTGAAAAATATTCCTGATTTCTAAAGAAAAATTTTTTTTTGTGTTCTTTATCCAAGTCATCGGTGTTCCTAGGAATTAATGTGACTGCTCCGTGTCACCCGATACTCGTGTCGACTGATCATGTTCTTTCAGCTGACGAGACCAGAAACATTTGGTCGCCCGACCATCGGCTTAAATGTGACCTGGGCATTACTGGCACATATTTTCAAAGATCAGTGATGAAGATATGTTTTCTTGCCAGTCCCTACTGGTACCAAAGATCTCGTTTTGAAGAGTGGCATCCAAAGAACAGTCGGTTTCCATGTCTTGTAAAGGGGATTCGAGTCCATATCGTGAGGACCAACTTTTTTTCTCATATCGATATTTATTATACATGTTGCATCGCCCGAATAAAAGTGCACTGAATAGGGTCATGGCATTGGGCCATCGCAGCTATTGCAGTAAAAATTAGTATCCCGCTTACGAGGGTAATGTATTTTATTCAATGTCACAAAATACGAAAGTTTATGCTACTAGCATAAACTTTCCTGTTTTGTGACATTTAATAAATTACATTACTCTCGTAAGCGGGATACGTAATTTTTTTCTGCAATGACTGCGATGTTAATGTGAACAACCAGAGAAAGACATTTTATCGTTTATATTTATATTAAATAATCATTTAGAAAGACATTTTATTGTTTATATTTATATTACATAATCATTTAGATAAGGATTAATATTCATCGTTGTGTAATTGATATGTACGGCATAGTATGTTTGATTGATGGATCAGCCACTGATCAAGAGATCTATTCAGGTCAGGCGCGTAGCTGCCTATACGCAAGTACGCAAGTGCGTACACATCATTTTCCAAAAAAAAAAAGAAAGAAAAATATTCCTGGGATAAAAGAAAAGAAAAAAAATTAAGAGAGATTTTTATACGGGAAAAAAGAGGCACTACCCATGTTTCAAATTATTTTGCGTCTTATTGTTTGGATTCAATTTTTTTCAGCATGTCTGCACATTCAAATTTAGTCCTTTGTAAAATCAATTCCAAAAACATCTTTCAACATTCTTGGGAAAAAAATTGTTAAACCAAAATGTTAATCCGCGTAATCACGATTATCCGGACAAATATTTGATAAGGAAAGCGATCTAAGGGACTTTGATCGAAAGAAAAAGTTATAAAGGTTTTGGACGACTATCCAAGATTTTTAATTTCCGTAGAGGTAATGAATAAATGTCGTTAAACAACTTAAAGTATGGTGAACAAAATAAATAATAATATAGATAGCTTCTTGTACTGATGTTATATACCAATTTAAAGAATTATATTATAATTGAAGCATTCTCGAATTTTCAGCTATCAAATATGAAGGTAATCAAAAGACAACAACACCCCCCGTTTATATTTTGAAATATTTAAACTCCAATGATAACGATATTGAAATTGCTACTCTGTTTTATCTTGATACACTTGGAAACTTTTTTCCAATACCACAATATGCGTAAATTAATTTGATAAATTATCCTTCTCTTCCCGAAGTATCAATGGAAGCAGTATATCTTATATTAAATAAGTGTTTGCTCGAGAAAAGTGATATTATTGTGATTTCTTTTGCGATGACTGAAAAATTTCGTAAAATCCAGGAGCTTCCGGGGGCCCTGTCACGGCTTTGCCCTGGACCCACTGGGGGCCTCAGGGCGGTCCCCAGACCCCCGACCGTTTTCTGCGTACACTTCGTTTCCATGATGGCTACGCGCCTGCAGGTGATAAATATGCCTAGTGTTGTTCATGAACTGATAAATTAAAACCACAATGGTTTTCTTAAAGAAATAAACGGAGAAAAAAATTCAGTGGATTGTGGAGTTAAATCAATAAAGAATTGGCATTTCTACAACACACCAAAATCATCTGATTTTGATACTCAAATAATATCCTTATTGACAAAAATTACAAAAATATGTTTTACTCAATTCATGCACAAACGTTACACCATATGGCTAGGTGACCTCTTTTTCTGTGTGGAATTTCTAGATAAGATTGACAAATATTTATGATTCAATGTAATTTTGTTTGTAATTAAAGGTGGACATCGGGGTAGGTATTTAATTCTTTAAAACCCTGTTTCTTTAACTAACAGATTTAACTGCGTTATCCGTATACAGATCGTTTATTCCATTCATTACTGTTTTCCATCATTTGTACATGACTTTCGTTGTCTAGGAAACTATGGCCACTGAAACATTTTCGGGATCCATAAAAGACTTGCCGACGCCATGTTTCCTTGTAGATATTGACAAGGTTAAAAGGAACTGTTCTCGTATGATAAAGCGATACAGAGATGTAGGGGTGGAACTCCGGCCCCACATGAAAACTCACAAGACTATGTAAGAAAACTAAACTCCACTACATGTAGTTTTATTAATCAACCTGCCTTATTATTAATTTGATGTTCAAAAGTTAATTGTCGTGTGCAATTCTTTGCAGAGAGGGCGGAGATTTGATGACTGGTGGAACTCGTAAAAAGATTGTCGTATCCACTCTAGCTGAAGCAGAGTTTTATGCAAGTAATGGATTTGATGACATCATTTACGGCAAACCGGTCATTGAATCGAACCTTTACAGGTATAAAAGTGCAAGCCAATGAAATAGGTGTTTATAATTATATCGATGTTTCTCTTATTTGACCGATTTGGCATACAAAGGTTCATGTATACTAAATAAAGATACAGAAAGAGCAGCTGCATGATGGTCATATTTAACAAGTCTGCCAGGTAAAACAATTTGTCGCGGGTTCAATTTCCAGAGCAGACTTATAAGACTATAGTAAAGCATCGCCCGCGTGACGCAGTGGCTAGAGTATGTGTCTGATCCAGAGTCGGAAAGTACAGTAACAACTGATCCTAACGTCGCAGATTCGAATCCCACTGTGGGACGTGGAGATCAGTCCTTAAGATAAGAGAGTATAAACTGAGGTCCCGTGTCGCAGTAGGTGCTGGCACGAAAAAAGATCCCTCACTACTCAATACGCAAGTGCTGAGTATAGGACAAAACTTTGCAGCATCGATCTCCACCGCCAAATGTCTCCATATGAGTGAAAAATTCTTAAGAGGGACGTTAAACAACATAACAACATACAAACAAACAATATGAGTGAAGGTTTCACAAAACACTTTAGCTGGACAGATTATTCTAAAAGAACAGCCCCTGCTTCTATCGTGTCCGTGTTTGTGCATAGAAATTAGAGGAGCGAAAAAAAATTAACCTAGTTTAAAATAGTGTATCAATAATTATTGAATTCACATTAAAAGTAAAGTGTTTAATATTAACCAAAAATTCTTCTGACAGGTTCATATAACCTAATCTTTTCCTTTAGAGAGAAGGGTAAAAACTTTTTTTCCACTGTGCAGAGATATTTTTGAATTCAGGTGCAAGAAGCTGCAGGAGAAGATCGAACAATTCCATTTGTTGTTTGATAATGAAAAGGCGATAGAAGCGCTGGAGAGAAATCCTTTAGAAAACAAGAAGTGGTCGGTGTTCCTTGAGGTGGATGTGGGCGGACATAGGAGTAAGTTATTAATCCTAAACGGTATGGTAGTTGAATAATCTTCGGTATCTTACAACAGACCTTCACCATGAATTGCATTTGAGCAAATTTTCTCTCCAACGTACGTGTTCTATAATCTACCATGTTGACACTAGACACTTCTTGATATTTTCGTAGTTTACGTATATATGAACTACTTTATTTGCTGCATTCCCAACGAATTTTATGGTAAAATCGGTCTGAAGAACAGAATCATTTTAACAAGAGAATGGTTCTTCACCATCAAGCCGATGATTTTCCCCCATCTTTAATCGTTCGCAGGAAACTTGAAATTAAACATATTTAAAATTTCTCCATTTTAGCTGGCGTTCCATGGGATAGTGATAAAGTGGTTGAGTTAGCCAGGTTAGCATCACAGGCCAAAAATGTTGAATTCCGAGGAATCTACACTCACTGTTCCGAATCCTATTCCAAGACCTCGGATACAGCAGTAAGAAGTCAAGCCGAAACCGACACCAAAAGATTCCTGGACGTATGTCAGAGGTCAGTCATTAATTTATTCTTCTGATAAGAGGATTATTAATATTTATGATTAATTTTACATTCTGTCTGAAGAATTCGACAAGCTGGCGTACCGGTGGAGACAGTTGGACTCGGAGACACGCCTTGCTGCTCTGTATTTGTCGACTCTATGGCTAAACTCACTGAAGTACACCCGGGCAACTACATATTTTACGGTATATTATAAACATAATATATTTTGTCTGTGCAGTTTTCCGCTTGATTTAATGTTATACATGTATGTACTTAAACACATCCTCTGTCGACTGTCAGAGCCGCCTTGTACTGGATCGGACAAACGGGAAAATCGTAGACAATCCAGTGTGTAAATACAACTGTATAAGGCATTTATAATACTAGTAATTGGTATGAAAGACTTCAGTCAGCTATTTTAATAAATGGTTTGATTGTATTTACTGACAAGGTCGTCATTTCAAAAATTAAAAAAATAGGGAAAAAAAATTTTTAACCGATACTGTTGATATCCTTGTCGCATCAGTTTGTTTGCCAACGACTTGCCTAGTTTTAGAAAATGTTCATACGTAGAGTATGCTCTATGCAGGTGATAAGTGTATATTACTAAATTGTTTGTAATCCCTAGCAGACCTGTTTTTTTATATTCCTGTGAAGCAAATTATATTCCAACTTTTATATTGAGGAAGAAACAATTTCTTTAACCTTCACCTCGATACTTAGATATTTGGTTACGTATTGTCAATTAAGAATTGTTACTTTCATTCTTATGTCGAAACGATATATCCATGTGAGTTTGAATTAAAAGATACCACAAAGCACAGATTGCAACATATCTGTTTCATATTTGAGTATTTTATGCTAGAAAAAGACGTTACATGTATTGGTAACCTAACAACAAAACTCTGTGACGATCTTGATGACTTCATTTTCATCGCCAGCTTTCCTTTTCTTATGTAGTATTGTACCCTTACCACTAATTTTGCTTTTGGAATTATTATCTCTCAGTTGATTCAATACGCGGGAGCATGCTCTACCTACAAACAATTTCTGAAACGAGGTTAATTATTGAGAAACAAGGTTGATTGAAAAAATCTATTAACAGTGTCGTTTAAAGTCTTCATTTTGCCAGTTCTAACCTTCTCAGCAAATACAATTTAATATTTTAGTCAAATGCTGATTTTTTTTTTCATTCGAATTGTTAGGCCATTATTTACACACTGAATTGTTGACGGTTTTTTCCGTTATTTCCCGATCATGACAAGGAACACACGGCGAGTGTGACCGGTCGGCCGGGGATTCCCACTCCTCCATGGCACCTGATCCCACCAGTGATGGTTTAAAGGTTTGTATGTGCTTGATTTTTTATTTGTATTGTTTGAATTGTCTATTTAGCTTGAATACTGTTCGTCCATATTCCACTTATTCATGAATCATTTACCTTCTGAATATTATTTTTACAATAACAAGGCAATTAGTATGTTTTAGGTGCAATTTATAATTTTGTTTTCGATTTTATAGATACTCAGCAGTTTGGTATAGGGTCGTGTGCGTTTGACGATATCGCAGTACGGGTGGCCACTCGTGTCATCAGCCATAAGCCTGAAATCAATCAAATTGTCCTAGACAGCGGCTTTGTGGCACTAAGCCACGATGGCATGTACTGCAACCTGCCAAATGGCATTGCAGTTTTCCAGGATCATCCAGAATTAATGTAAGTATACTTATTGTCGCCAAAAACCCTTAAATGTAAATACCTGTCATTGCATGTCTTTGAATTCATTATTTTCCAGGTTGAATTAATTTAATGTAGATCGATTTTCCCCACGTTAACCTGTTTCTGTAAAATTAATATTCTGACCATTTACATTTTTAAGTCCCCTGAGTCATTCGGGTGAGCTATTGTTATCTGTTGTTGCCCATGGTCGCCTGTCGTGTTAACAATTTAACATTTTCAGCTTTTTTTTCTCTGGAACAGGTGAACCAGTTGCAATGAATTTTGCAAATAGAATCTATGGGTTAAGGGAAATAAAATTTATGAATTTTTATGGTACCTCTGCCAATCAAAATTGGGAACATTCCTGGCCTTAGGGTGAGGGATTCTGTGTTAGGACGGGATTCTTATGATAATATCGTGGAAATCAACGCTTTATTACTTTCTAAATCTAGGCTCGGGGTTTGTATTATATTCAGGTGAATGTGAAAACCCTTAAGGCTCTTTTTTGTTTTAATTTATTTTTTAAATTTAGAATGAAGAAAATGTCCCAGGAGCATGGCTGTGTTTCCGTTAAGTCTGGACAAATCGACTGTAATGCTTACCCAATAGATTCAATGCTTTTCATCTATCCATATCATGTGGGTGCTATTTTATTTTAAATATTGATCTCCAAACTACATTAAGTTAATTTTTTATTATACGCCCGTCTTAAGACGGGACGTATTATGTTAAACTTCACATATTTTGTTCTGTTCGATTCCTTCCGGCTCATAACTTGAATACTATTAGGCCTAGGATTATGAAACTTTGTCAACTTATACTTCTTGGGTAGACGGTGTGTCGCGCACAAAAAGTAGGTCGCTCTGACCTTTAATAAAGATGTTATAGCCAAATATGGAAAAATCCTGTCCGGCTCATAACTAGAAAACTATTAGCCTAGAGCTTTGTTGGCAAACGTATACATCTAAAGTAGAAGGTGTGTCACGGCCTATTTCAAGGTCACTGTGACCTTTAATTAAAGTGAATTTTTTTAAAAAACTAAATCTTTTAAATTCTATAATCCAGAAAAAATGTAAAAATATAGTTGTATGCTTATTAAAAAACGTTAAATTAAGTAAAAACTTATTTTTTCATCATATACTTTATAGCAATCTGTAACAAATGTTTATGCTTTGAGAGGAATTCATTATTTTCCATGGTTGAATTAATTTAAGAAGAGTTTTGATAGCAGAAATTTGCATGTCAAATTAGAGAGAAATTAATGAGTTTATTGTCAGGAGCTAAGAGCATCTCTTGATTTGATGCAGATGTTATCTTAATTTATCTCTTGGGAGTTGGGCAAAAAGAAATGGCCTCATAGTTGCTTGTGCTAAGTAAGAGCTTGATGGCTAGTGTTATCTTTCAATTGATGTAATGTAATTAAAACAAATTGATGTTTTAGAGTATGATTAAAACAATTTAACATTATGATTAAAACTAATTATATATGTGTTCATTGAAAAAAAAATTATATTTCAATTTTTATATATTTGCAACAAAGATGCCATAGCAAAATATGGAAAAATCCTGTCTGGCTCCTAATAAAAGCTATTAGACCTATTTCAAACTTGAAAAGTTTTTAGAAGGTGTGTCACGGCCTATTTCAAGGTCACTGTGACCTTTAATTAAAATGAATTTAAAAAGAAACTGTCTTTTAAATTCTAAATTCCATAATCCTAAAAAATGGAAAAATATAGTTGTATCCTTATTAAAAAACGTTAAATTAAGTAAAAACTTATTTTTTCATTATATACTTTACAGCAATCTGTAACAAATGTTTATGCTTTGAGAGGAATTCACTTTTTAAATTATCAAGCACTCAGGAGTTTTGATAGCAGAAATTTGCATGTCAAATTAGAGAGAAATTAATGAGTTTATTGTCAGGAGCTAAGACCATCTCTAGATCTGATGCAGCTGTTATTTTAATTTATCTCTTGGGAGTTGGGCAAGAAAGATGCTTGTTTTAATTAAGAGTTCTTGACGGCTATTCCAGAAAAGATCTTTCAATTGATGTTCTAGTGTATGATTAAAACTGTGTTATGATTAAAACTAATTATACATGTGTTCATTGAAAAAAAAAATTATATTTCAATTTTTATATATTTGCTTGCAGTCATGTCTCACTAGTATTATTTGTTATAATCAATCCTACACTGTAAGTCTCTTAGAGATTTATAATAAGAAATGGAAATTAGCTATTTCTGTGTCAGTTGTTAAGGCTATTTTTCTTGCATCCTAACCAATGTATGATTATTGAACAATATTTGACGGGCGTATCATGCTGTGGCGGGGCACTTTATTAAATTATCAACAGATATTTGCTGATTTAGATACATGTATATTGTGATTTGAGATTATGAGTGCCCTGGACATCATATAAGGCAATTTTGCGTAATTTCTTTAATAAGGTTTATAACGCTTTTTTGTATGCAAAAATACACAAAATGTGAGAAACAAATTTTGACCTATTGGGGTTCCATATATTAAAATTTTTATTTCATATTTTACATTTAAATTGAAATTAACTTACTGTGTCTTTTTATTTTTGTTTCCTTTTTAGTTTATATTTTATTTCATTTCATTTGATTGGTCGATTTTTAGAACGATTGGTTCATTTTTATTTATCAGTTGAAATAACTGTATCATATAGTTATTTTAAATTGAAAAATAAATTCATTTTCGAACTGCTCATACCTGATATATATTGATTTATCTAATTCTCCAGGCATGCGCCACAGCTGCCAACCACCCAGTCTATTACATTCACTCTGGAGACAAAGTCCTGGGAGTATGGAAGCCCGTCAAAGGATGGTGAAGGATCAACCAACTACAGGCAGCATGAACATATTAAGTTTAAAAGTCAAGTTTGAACAATAAAATTACAGTTCTTTTTAATCTTTTCTTAAACGTCCTCACATTGTGGATTTCCAAGAGATCAGAACATGGAGAAAAGTTATATATGTGTATGCAGTGGAACTTCAATAATCTGGACTTCAATAATCTGGATTCTAAGGATTCCGGACGAGTGTCCATGTTCTTTTAAAAATAAATAAAAAATCAAGATAAGACCGACAATGTTGATTCTAAAAATGAAACTACAACTAAAGAAAAAGCTTCATGTAACTTGGTTACGTTGTATAAACATTAGACAGCTGGTGAAGAGTATTGAGAAAATACTAGTACTTTGAAAGGAAAACAACAGATGATTTATCGGAACTACTCAGTAAATAAGTGTTGCTGGCTTTGTACTTTGATAACTTATATAAATGATGAATAATTGCACTGTACTTTATATCATTTCAGTGATTTTGAAGATCAATAATGATGTATTTTCTTTATTGCATAGGTTAGGGGTTTTAATATTTACTTGAAACATGGAGATAAAGAAGAGAATTAAAGTCCATTTAAATAATACAAATCAGGAGCAAAGCAGACACGAACCTTCAAAACATCAAAGATAGAAACAGTATACCATATAGGATTGAGAATATCCTTTATACCGGTCACACACGCCGTGTGCTCCTTGCAATGATCGGAAAATAATGGAAAAATAAATTCGTACACAATTCAGTGTGTAAATAATGGTCGAACAAGTTGTATGAAAAACGTCCATCAGTAATTGACTACTGGTGTAACTGATAGATTGCATTTACTTACTCACACGGTCATTGTATCGACCATAAAACTTGCAAAACGATTTCTTTAAACGAGACTGTTGGTATTCTGTTTCATTAACTTGTTTATTAATAACTTACTTCGTTTAAGAAATTGTTAAAACGTAGAACATGCTCTCTCTTATCGAATCCAACGGAAAGATATAAACTTCATATATGCAGGTTAATTAAGGAATAACTAAGTTTTTGGTTTAATTGTGTGATTAATCGAGTGGCTTGCATGATAATTTGTATAAACGCCGAATGCATGAAATTAAAACACAAGCCAATCGATTCAACGATTGATCATCGTCATAAAACCAAAGAATCTGACAGTTATTTCTTGTATTTACATGCTCTTGATTCCACCAATCCATGTGCTCTAAGCCCCGCTTCTATCTCTATTTGTCTGGCCCTGCATGTGATTGTTTTTAAAACCGCTCCTACCGATGAACCAGTAGATTTATGGAGAAATACAGTGCACTTATCATTTGTAATTTTATCTCGGACAAAGACATTGGAAATATTAGGGTACATTGCTACATTAGAAAAGTTGAAGTCACTCCGTTTTCATACAGCTTTGTTGTAAGGTTACCATCCACGTATTTTTCTACTAAAGTATCGGTAAATGAAACAGATGTATCGGACTCTGTGTAATCTTTTATTTCAAGTTCGCTGGGAAATATAGTGTCGGCATATGAAACAGAATGAAAGTAACTATAATTAGTGGATAATACGCCATCAATATATCTAAATGTCGAGTTGAAGGCCGCAGCAAGTGTTTTCTTTTTGCGTTTAAGATTTTAAATAAATTCTGCTTTATATGAATACATCATATGTCTACTAATTGGCGCATTTGGTACTAATGGCAATTCCAACAAAACTTGTTAGATAACCTCGTCTCAAAAATAACGGATGGAAAATGTCGGTCAGAAACTCGAACATTTTTAAACAATACATGTAGCTTCAGAGTTTCTTTGTGCAATCAGAATGTTTATTTTAAATATTTTTGCAAATGACCAATGACATGGTTGTTGGGATTTCTGTAGAATGGTCTTTTATGGGGTGGATTTGCTAGCTCCACACCCAAACCCCTGGACCCCGGAGGACCGAAGGTTTTCAATTGGGGGTTTCCTTCTCCTCGTCACTGGTTCAAGTTATAGGTGCTGGAGACTTGCCTTTTGCCACTGTCACTCAGCTGCCGAAGCATTTCCATGATCACCAAAACGAGGAGATGTGACTTGCTGGCAGAACCTTTTTGTGACTATGGGCATTAAATCGAGATTTTAGTGATGGCACCTACTGATGATACCTGGTGACATTTCATGGCAACCCTCGAGACCCATACCAGCATTTTACTCCAAGAGAAACTATCACGATTGGCATCAGAAGCCCAAAAAATGTCTGTAAAATAAATTGAAAGAAAATATGTGATGAGAATCAACAACAAACAAGAGATATAAATCCAGTTAAATGGGGAAAACATCAAAGAAACTGACAGATTCATCTTTCTTGGGAATATCGTCAACTAGAATAGTGGTGCAGATGGGATGTCAAAAGCAGAATTAACAAGGCAAGACATGCTTTCAATACTCTTAGACAAAACTGGATTTCTAAAGCTCTCTCCATCGACAGCATAATCGAGATTTTTAACACAAATGTTAAAACAGTTCCTTATATGGTTCCAAGGCCTGGAAGATAACTAAAACCATAAACAACAAACTACAGTCTTTTATCAATAAACGTCTCCGCCATATCCTTAAATCAGATGGCCTGGCACCACATCAAACAACAGCTTATGGAAGAGATCAAACCAAAATCTCAAAGTCATAGATATTGACATAAAGAAGAGAAAATGGGGTTTAATAGGCCACACTTTGCGCAAACCCTGTAACAACATCACAAAACAGGCTTTCGTTTGGAATCCACATGGAAAGAGGAGGGTTGGGAGACTCTGGCAAACCTGGAGAAGGTCCGTGAAAATGGAAGCAAAAGAGGCAGGTTTTACCTGGACCCAATTGAAAGTCACAGCCAAACACAGAGTATGATGGCGTGGTGTAGTTGCGGCCCTGTGAGCGAACAGGAATGTCAAAGTAAGTCAATGACAAACTTATTATATTTTTGAATTCCATTATTATTATTATTCGTTTTTAATAGCTATAAAAAAAATGTCAAAAAACCTGGTCATTAAGTTATTGCGGGGAATGGTTGTATACAGAGTAAAAATTTGAAAGTTTTGAGGTTGTTGATTTTTGTAAAAAATTTTAATATCCACATCTAATTTTTCATATTTATTCTCAAATATATTCTTTTACAATATCCTCCTTATTGTTGTTAAAATTTTAGAGAGGAGAAAAGAAAGAGGCTTGGTAGAGCTTTTACTGGAACCCGCTATAAATCTTTGTAAGGATTTTTGTGAAACCTGTAAATCTAATAGGTAATTCGAATTTATTTTGATTGTTGGAAATATAAAAAATATTCAAAACTGACTTATGATTTTGAAGAATTTCCTCCTTACAAAAAAGCTATATTGGTTAAAGTTAAATTCCACTAGTAAAATTAAATCCCAGTTCCTCTTAAATACAGCGAAAAAATTGAGCCTTGCAAACAAAAAACAATGTTGTTTTGATCATGTAATCTATCTAATTCTTTTTTTTCACCTACACACACTAGTAGATGGTTTTCATATTGCCCCTCAATATCGCTTAATGTGAAATTTGATATAATCTGATACAAGTTTTAATCAATTCTGATAAAGTGTCAGTGAGGTCTTTTTTCGTGTTTGGCTTACCGCCATGTGTAATGACGTAAACAGCAGCAGTACCATAATTGTAAAATGAGTGAAAAAAGAACACGATGGAGGATTATTGTCTTCCGCTTTTGCGAAGCGAATCGAGGGACTTTAAATCTTCGTCTGTCTTAAAAAACTTTAAAGTTGGTTGTAACTTTTGAATGAGAAGAGAGAAGGTTTTAATATTTCACATGTACATTACCTGTGATAAGACCTTTCCAAATGTTCTCCGAGTTTTGACCACGTGCCTTCACCTTGAAGTTTGACCTACTTTTCAAGAATTTTAACATTACTTGAAATGGGTCATTATTTTTAAAAGTGAAAAGATACATAAATGGCTTTAATATTAAACGCATGCATAACCTGTGACAAGACCTTTCTTAATTTACTATAATTTTTCACCCCGTGACCTAAACCTTGAAGTTTAATCTACTTTTCAAAATTGATATATTCCCGTATGACTTGATTGAGAAGAGGTAGGGAGGGATTTCATTTTTGACTTGTGTATTGCAAGTGACAAGATGTATCCAAGCATATTATGATCTTTACCCTTTGACATTGATCTTCACCTTTGTCCAAATATATAAAAATTTAAACTTTGGAAATTTCTTTTAAATGACATATGATAGGACGTTCATATTTGACACAATATGCCATAAATAATAGCATCCCATACAGCATATATGTATACATGTAGTTACACACAATCCACTAAGACACCGAAAGCAATGGAGCACTACAGAGTATTCTTTGATTTTTGCTTGTATTTCAAATTTATTTTTTATACAGGCGCTTGATGTTTTTAACCTTTCTTTTCATAAATAAAAATACATTGTGTGTATCCCCTATACTATAATAATAATAACGGTATAGGGGATATTAAAAGAAAGGTTAAAAACGTCAATTTTAGTGCCTGTGATTTTTTTTATATCTAGGCTTTGTAGAGTATTTGTAATTTTGAAAAATGTGGTAACAATAATCGATGTTTAATTATTTATAAGAAATACCAAAGTGTGTTCATCATGGTGTTGTCATCCACTTAATATCCTTTCCTTTAATCATTTCTTAGAAAACCATTGCAGTTTATCAGTCGGTAAACAGCAAAAAAGCATACCACCTGTACATGTTTCTTGAGCAGTGGCTGTTACAGAAATGAAAATTACATTGGCGTACATATCAAAATCATAATACGCTATTTCATCTACTACAACCTAATTTAGATGATTATTTGTACAGATATAAATATAAATCATAAAAATTCTTTCTTTGTGTGTTAGTAAGGGAATTCGCGTTGCTGCTATTGTAGGTAAAAAATTATAATTTCCCGCTTACGCGACTTCTGCATTTTTCTTCAACAATATAATTCCATTACCAACAACAAAAAAGTATTTTATTTTTTAATATTTAAACAGAATTTTACGAGACGAACGTTTCAAATTATTTACAGAAATGCCTAAATCGGTTGAACTTTGTGGCAAGCTACAATCAGGTATCTCTTTTGATTACAAAAGTAAGTAACATTCAAGATCTTGTTTTCAAACTTAAGCGTTATTTCATAAAATAAAAAAAGTATGTACGTATATATAGATAGTATTAAAGATTAAAAACCGAGGAGACTGGTTCTGTTATTTTTAATTATACTTTCGTGCGATGTCCGTGTTATCAACATAAATTGTTTTATTTCATTGAAAAATGTAACAATAAAACATATTTTTAAAGTTATCAATAATATAAAAATAATTTGTTATTTTCAATGTCTACACATTTGATAGGCTCCAAGAATATTAATATTGCTGTCAAAAATTTCCTTTCTGGAAAAAAAACCTGTTTAAGAATTCACGCCAAGTATGTATGCAATTGATTCCTTGTTTTGTTGAACGTTGCATGGTTAAATGTATTATCTGTCGGTAATTTATACAGTTGGGGATTCAAATCGATCTAACTTATTGTCAACGATGCCTATTCTGAAAAAAATCTTTTCTGGAAATCAAAGACAAATCACAAGTCTTGTATAAAAACTCGGAATAAACCTAGTATTTTCATCGATTTTATTTGTAACCTGTATAGATGTTTGGATTTGTCCACAATGCTCATAATATTTCCTGGCCGGAGCTAACATATAATGGTTGACATATCGAACCATGTTACATTGTGTATTGCGTGATTTCCAGATATATACATACAAATAAGAAATGGTGAGAAGTTGACAAGGTGATAATTACTTGTAGGTCACCGGATCTTATCCCCCAATTAAGAGAAACTGATCTTTTGAGTAAAGAGACTTTCAAAGTTTATCATGGATTTCTTCATTGCAAATGGACATAATATTTCAGGAACCGGGGTAAATTCTCTAAGTGTCCAAAATATCATTTACGGAATTCTACTGATATTAGTTTCTGTATTCATTGTTACAATTAACGGATTACTGCTATTTGTTATATGGTCAACAAAGTATCTACATAGATGTCAGAACGTATTCGTTGTGTCTTTGGCTATCAGTGACATCCTCAGCGGATTTGTGGAAGGCCCTTGTCTTGCTTATATTGTTCTGAATCGCCCTGACATTTTCCCTGTGTGTCCAGTGAAGTTTTTTGTAAGTCGTTTTACCAAATCCTCCTTCTCCTTCAGTTTAATGATGCTATCAGTGGAGCGGTGTCTTGCTGTGTCCCGACCTCTGAAATATCAAAGCCTTGTGACGGATCGTTCCTGTACCATCTCTGTTGTCCTTATATGGATGTTATCGGCTCTTTTTGCGTCACTTTCTCTAATAAGGAACCGCTTCTTTTATGATAAACACAATCACAAGTGTAGCTTTGACGTATATGCGTATGGATACACCAAAGACATAATAATTGTTTATATTGTTCTTTCAAGATTCTTGCCAATGCTTGTGATTTTGTTTTGCGTCATTGTGACACTTAATAAAGCTCGAAGCAGATTCAAATTTACTGCAGGCATATTAGCAGCTGTTCCATTGACAGTAGCTCCTGTTGTGTATCCTTTGAACCTGAAGAAAATCACACTTAAAGCCCTCCGGTCCCTTGTGCTTTTGTCTATAACTTTTTCTGTATTGACCATAGTCTGTTGTACATCAGGGATTCAGAAAACAATTCGGAACCTTGATTTCCCACCAGAATATGAGATGGCTTTACAGTTTATTTCTTTGTCCTATTACTTCATCACGCCTGTAATTATTCTCATATTCAACAAACAATACCAGAACAGGATTGTCTCTTTGATCTGTAAGCGAGGCTGGAAGTCAAATAGGGTCACACAAGATCCACTGGCGACTGTAAAATAGTCTGCTAACGAATTTTCATTAACAAAATTAATCAGTGATGTTTGTTGCTGTTTCATGCAAAACGTTAATGTAGTGGATTTGATAATTCCTTTATATTCGTTATATTTATATTTTAAATCGTTTTTTTTTTGTTTAAAAAAATAGCAAATTAAATTTGATGTGGTTCTCAATATGATAAAGAGGTTATTCTGAAAGTTTTTTCCTCTAGAAATTCGTAATATCCATCATCAGGTTACGTCTCCGCATGTAGATTATTCACGATATTGATAATTTGTTTGTGTCAAAAGTAGCACCAAAGCCCAGCTAATATCACTTTTAGTGTATATTTTAGGTTACTAATCTATCAGATTAAAAATCGAGCGGAATGATTTTGCAGGTTTTTAGACGTTAAGATTCAGTGAATTTCTCATAAGGGAGATAACTGTAAAATAAGGTTTCAAAATTTTAATTCTGCTATTAGTCCCTTATGAAACTTCAGCATAAACATTCTTTGTGTATTTTGTTATATAAAATTTGATGATTTTATAAAATAACTATTTTGTTGTGAATACAACTTGAACTCGCCTTTATACCTGCATGTGTCCTTGAAACTGATAGGTACTCCGTTATGCTCATATATCTTAATCTCATACACTGTAGCTTTCAGCCCCGTGTGTACTGTTATATGTAAGCAAGTGTATTATCACATGAAGGAATTGACAGCTACCCTAGCGATCAAATTAGTTAGGCGATGCAGAAGTAAGTTTATAATGTACTATCAGGATACAGGTATAAACGAGATTTGATCGGATTTTAAGATCATACAATGAAGGATATGGAGATAACGAACATTATTATATACCCATCAATTTCATTGTTTTTGTTACTGTTGATTTTACAGAGTTTGATCCGATTTTCCGGATCACCACAATGTGGTTCACCACTCTCTGAAACTGATGACGTAGTACGCAAAAACATGACGTTATTTTTCTCGCGCGTTAAAAAGACCCTTGTTATTATGCTTTGTTTTATTTGGATAAATATTATACAATGTGATCTCTATTTTTTTTTCAAGTTTTATTACATGTAATCAAATCAGCGAGGCAATGAAAATGAGTATATGTCAATATATAAAGCTTCATCGCTAGTACACTTGCTCGACCGTTTTCTATTACATGTAGATTAGCTTGTCAAATATTTTGTTGTGAATACAACTTGAACTCGCCTTTATTCCTTCATGTCCTTGAAACTGACAGGTACTCCGTTATGCTCATATATCTTAATCTTATACACTGTAGCTTTCAGCACCGTGTGTACTGTTATATGTAGCCAAGTGTATTATCAGATGAAGGAATTGACAGCTACCCTAGTTAAATTAGGTAGGCGATGCGGAAGTAAGTTTATAATGTACTATCAGGATACAGGTATAAACGAGATTTGTTATTTTAAGTTACAATAAGGATAATATATATGTATTCAATCTCAAAGTCCATAAAACAATACAAAATAGGAGCAGAACAAACACGGACCTCCAAAACATCAGAGATGGGATCAGGTGCCATGAAGGAGTGAGCATCCCCTGCTGACCAGTCACACCCGCCGTGTGCTCCTTGTCATGATCAGGAAATTACGGGAAAATCCGTCGTCAATTCAGTTTATAAATAATGGACTAACAATAAGTATGAAAAACGTCAGTCAGCATTTGACTAAATGATAAATTGTATTTGCTGACAAGGTCATTGTATCGACCATAAAACTTACGAAATGATGACTTTAAACAAGACTGCTGATATTCCTGTTTCATCAACTTGCTTGTCAATAATTTACCTCGTTTTAGAAATTGTTCTATGTAGAGCATGCTCTTGCGTATCGAATCAAATGAGATATATATACTCCGTATGCAGGTGATAAAGGTATATTGCAGCATAAGTAAGGGAAGTTGACGATAGAAAAGTTAAAGTCATCATGTTTATCATGATGATTGGTTGTTAGATTACCATTAACGTCTTTTTCAAGTAAAATATCCAAGTATGAAACAGACGTGTCAGACTCTGTGGTATCTTTTATCTCAAGCTCACCAGGATATATCGTATCGACGTAGGAATGGAAATTACCATTGTTCATTGACAATACGTCGTCGGTATATCTAAATGTCGCGTTGAAGGTCATAGAACTTACAAAATGATGATTTTAAACGAGACTGCTGATGTTCTTGTTTCATTAATTTACCTCGTTTTGGTCAGTGTTATTTTCTTCCACGCAATTATTTCTTTCTTGCTGTTGTGCTATTACTTTGTCTTCTTTGGATTCAGCTCATTGTCTTCCACGGCTGTGTTAGTTTTTCTTATTCTACAATGGTGTACACGAATACAGATTCCTCCATGTTTTACAAAAATAACTAAAGAGTCTTGCCCTATAACTACACCATGGCCTTTCCACTGTTCACTATCTGGGCGTTTGTAGTAAACAAGATCTCCATTCTGGTACTGATCACCAATTGATCGTGTTTGTCTCCTCAATGCTCTTCTGATTCTCTCAGAACACTCGCTTTTTGTGAAAGCTGCTCTAGAGGAGTGTAGTGCCTCCATGTGTTTCCCAAACAATATACTCATAGTAGTACCTTCCAGAGCTGGCGGTCTGTTGATTAGCACACTAGGAAGATTGGGGTTACATCCATATACCACTTGATAGGGGGTTAAATCCATGCACATTATGTAAAGCATTTTTTGCCATAAGTGCCCAGTTTAATGCTGTCTCCCATTCACAGCCATTCTCAGCTCTTAATTTCAGGAGAATTTCGGTCAGAGTTTTATTATGACGATCCAATAAACCATTACTCCATGAACTGTATGCAGCCGTCGTCTTTACTTCAATATTGAAATTCTCTGCCATGTCAGGAACTTCTTCATTATTGAATTCAGCGCCATTATTTTATTTCCTTGATCACCTTATTTTCAAATTCAGCTGATTTTCCACATAAGAAGTCATCTACATGACAAGCAAGGATTCCATCTATTCTTTGGTCACCATTATTCCGAAAGAAAACTGCTGGATCAGAATTTGAAACCTCTACAACACTGGCAATAAGTACTTCTTTGACCCTTTTGTACCAGCTTAGAGAAGCATCAGACAGCCCGTACACACATTTACGCAGTTGCCATACTACACCTTTACAACCAGCTTCTGGCGGCGGTTTTACGTAAATCTTGCGTCCAATTTCTGAACCTTGAAGAAACTGAAGAAATGCTGTCTTAATATCCATAGTGTGAACGCTCCAGTTTCTTTTAGCCAATACAGTTAGGACAAGTTAGGAGTGTAGTGCCTCGATGTGTTTAACAACCAATGTACTCATAGTAGTACCTGTCAGAGCTGGCGGTCTGTTGATTAGCACACTAGGAAGATTGGGGTTAAGTCCATATACCACTTGATAGGGGTTAAAACTATGCACATTATGTAGAGCATTTTTTGCCATAAGTGTCCAGTTTAATGCTGTCTCCCATTCTCAGCTCTTAATTTCAGAAGAATTTCGGTCAGAGTTGTATTATGACGATCCAGTAAACCATTACTCCATGAACTGCAAGCAGCCGTTGTCTTTACTTCCATATTGAAATTCTCTGCCATATCAGGAACTTCGTCATTATTGAATTCAGCACCACCATTATCGTTATAGTCATTTTGGAGCTCCGTGTTTTGACAACCACTCAAAGAATTTTTTCACAAATTCCGATGACTTTTTGGATTTTATGATGCTCCCGGCACTGAAACGAGTGAATTCATCAATGACATGCAAGTACCACAGTCCTGGTTCCGATTCGTGAAGGTCCACAGCTACAGTTTCATTGAAGTCGGTTGCTAACAGCAATCCTACAACAGGTCTCTGTACTGGTCTTTTGTACTCAACGCAAGTTTCACAACTTTCACATACAGACTGTAATAACTTCATCGTTTCTTTGTCGGTTGTCCCAGCACTTTTCAATAGCCTGAGCCAGTCTTTCTTCAATGCGTTGCATGTCCAAACTGTTTGTAGAGCTTCGTCACTACTTCTTTTTCTTTTCAGCCTTGTTCATGTTTTCTGTGACCTCTAAAATTTCTTCTTTCAATAAGCTGTCCACGTTTGTATATGAATCTTTCAGAATTCTTACACAGTAATGTCCACCTATGGTGAATTCCAGGCTCACTGGTTGATTAAACATACTTGTACATTTTTTAAGTCCAGAACTGTTTCTGCCTTTTTAGTGATTATTTACTTAACAACAAAAGAGATATATCAGCTTTTACAATTTCTGTTTCTATGTTGCATTTTGTTTTCCCAATAACGGCTGGAATTGTGGCACGCTGGAACGAGTAGATTTTTTTTGCCACCTCCAAACTTGAATGCCCTACGACTCTCATGAATTTCCTTACAGAACAAATCAACCCATTTATCTCCACACACAGGTGCAAGCTCTATCAATAATTGTCGCTCCTAAAGTCTCCAAGATAAAAATCTCATTCAAGGCTGGTTGATCTTTCGTAATTAAAGTAACATTGCAATCCTCAACCGAGTCCGAGTCACATTCTGCCAACTGTACTGAAGTTCTTTTCTCTGGACAGTCTTTTGCCCAATGAAATACACTCTGACATATTGCACACTTTGTTCTTTTACCAAACTTGTTTAGGGTATTGTCCCTCATTGCTTGCTGTTTAGTTTCTTCTGTTGTGTGAAAAAACAGGCTCTTGTTTGACCGTAATGACTGTGTTATCAGTTTTCATATCTGAACTAGAACTCACACTTTCACCAAAGAATCCTTTGTAATCCTGACTTCATAGCTTTGTACTAGAGGTCTGTGCATGCAATTAATGTTGTTCCTCTTGTACGGAAAGTCCTGCATTGACCAAGATTTTAAAGTTGTACTTGAGGTCTGTGCATGCAGGTAATGCTCTTTCTCTCAGGAGTGCCATGTCAAATTTTTTGGCCTTGTTGTATCGTTTATGAAGCTCAATAATGTAGTCAGATATTTTCATATTTTCTGTTTTCTTAAACACCTCAAAGTTAATATAAGCCTCATGTGCCTTATCTTTATCATCTCGAAGAAAAACTTTATCTAATTGTGCCATTAGTTTCTTCACACCGTCCTCTTTTCCTAATTCTTCCGCTGGAAACTCCATTGCTGTTTCTGTTGCATTTCCAGTCAGGGACAATGACACAGCCAGGGCTTGTTTTTCTTTTTTCAGTTCTGTTACTAGCTGGCACACTGCAACTTCGTTTATCCATGCTTCATAGGTCATGGACTTTTGATCAAATGCTAGAGGGTTCTTGAAGCTTCTAGCCATGGTTATTCTCTGTTTACACGCTCTGCTACCATGAAAAGTTGTCCCAAACTGCCTAATAAGACCTCTAGTCATTCCTAACAAGCTTCCCGCCATTTGCAACAGCTCTTCTGTCTCCTAAGGTGCACTTAGTCCCTGGTGGCGGCTAATTACCCAAAAGTGTCATTGGGAATGACTAATGACCCAAAACTGGTAACAATATCTTTGCAGTTCCATTTTTAGGGTGGGAATATAAATCACTTAAAAAAAAGGATAAATTCTTTAAGTTTTATTTCTCTTTCTGTACACTAAACAGACAAACTAGGTGTGATGAGCAAGAGCATCTTCCAAAATCGTGCAGATCATGGCTCCTGGGGAACGGAGTTCTGTTGTTAGGGTGGTCTTTATTGATAACACGGTGAAAATGAATTACTAGTAATCTTATAAAAAAATTCTTTATTTCTGGGTCAGTGCATTGTTGTGATGTGTCAAGGTACTCATTCAGAAATTATGAACTCCCTGGCCTCTACTTGACACCCATTCTCAGTAATAATGTGCAATTGAGGAATTTTTTAGACTTAAAATTCAATTTGAGTGTACGCCCGATAGACCTCGTGCAAAGTTAAGGTTAGATATGTCAGATTAACATCGTAAAAAATCCATAGCACCATTTTGTTGGCGAAATAAATATGACAAATTGAAATATATGCTATTTTCTCCCTAAAATCACTGTAATATATACGTTACCGAACTTACTGGCTTATGAAATAAAGAGTTTTGTAGCATTTTTACTTCTTTCCAAGTTAATAATATGTTAGGCTATACATTTTTTTCCAATGTTAGGGATATAATCAAAGTTATTTAGACTACTACAGTCGATAAATAGCGTTGATAGGGCCATCGAAAAACATGATTTACTATAAATAAAAGATGCAGTATATTGCAGTTACGTTCTGTCTCTAATTGTTCAAACAAAAGATACTTCCTATATTAAATTACATTAGATTGACTATTGACAAACGATAAATTTGAGAACAAACCACAATAATAGCTTTTTAAAAAATAAATACATCCTCAAAAGTTGATCAGGATAAAAGTAACGTAAGTATCAAATGATAGCTAGTGTCAATTAGTTCTATTGATTTTGCAAAAAATCACTTTCTTTGAGTATGATATGGATAAATTTCTCTCACATAATGAAAACCTAAAATATAACTGAGTCAGAATTTTAACGACAAATACAATATACATGTTTTTCTTGAAAGCATGGTTTTTCCTCAATTTCTGGTCATTCAATCTTTAATACATTTTAATTTTTATTTATTTTATGGTGAAAACAATTATTCTCATTTGAATTGGGGGCCTTTAGCCTTTTGATGCTCTCTGTAGTCTTTCTGTTTTTGAACCGCAGTTTTAACCATCCTAAAACAATTAATAATTGCCGTAACGTAAATCACGATACATACGTGACTAGAAATTATCAAAGATTTAAAATGGTTTTCAGGGTATATAAGCTTTAAATTGTATGTTTACTAGTATTTTTAGGGGAATATATGTATGGGCAGTCAAAAAAAAAGTTATCATATTTAACAATTTTCGGTTATCTACTTTTAAAATCAAAGTGGATTCATTTACAAATAATTAAGCATAAAACAGAACAAAAAATTATTTGCATTTAAGATACTTTTAAGAGAAAAAAAACTTTTCTGGAGCTATAATAAAAAAAAAATTATGTACCCTGTTCTTCAACACAAAGTTTAAAACATAATACTTTTCCCCCTGATTCACCCGAAAAGGATAAACTGCTTTATTAATACCTACGTTACCAAAGGTTACGTAGGTATCAAAACATTCCAAAGCTCTACTGAATTTATCGTAATATTTTAAGTTAATATTGATTAGATATATGTAATGCCAATAGAATTCGATCTTTATTTCAATATATTTGACTCTGAAGTGCAAATAGCTATCACCTTAGTCTGGATTTAAATCCCAAGGTTCATGCTTCCATCATATTTACCGTCGACCTTGTTTGTCTTTGAATTTTCCCTCGTGTAAACTTCTGGTAAATCATCAAGCAACGTGGCACATCATGTGACAAACATGTGATACACAATAAAGTGTCAATTATTCTATATTTATCCATATTTGGTAACGTAAGTATTAGTAACGTAAGTATTTCCCGGCTTTTTTATGGGCTGTATATTTTTTTAAATATTGTGAGTGAGCTGCATTTTTTTTTAACAATAAACTTTGTGTTATCGGCAAGCATGTAAGCATAATCAATAGAGTCTGACACGTTTATATACTTATAGTAGGACGTTAAACGTATGTATTGCCGAAAATACAACCATTAGAGTTTTATAATTCATATACGTTGTTTGAAAATAATTCGATGAAATCAAATATCAAATCTGTTTTACAAGTGTCTATACGTTGTCTACTGTCTGTTTTGAGTAAAAATTAACATTTATTTGCATAAATAAAATATCTGAGTTCAGTTATATAATGTTGTTACGTAGGTATCAAACATCTCGCGACAACAACATGCTGCAAAAAGAATTACATAAACATGTGATTTAATATAAGTTTCAGTGATCATTTTTTAACTTAAAACGATGTGCAATAAATCCATGTGTTTGAGAATGCACACCTATTAAGTTCAAATGGTTTTATTCTGCCTTACTTCTGGTATATTAACCCAGCGACAGTAACGTATGTATTGTTTCAGTGTATTTAGAGACGTATTTCACTTGTGTCCTATTTCCGATTTCGCTAATATTTGTATGTGTTTAATGGCCCATGGTATATGTTTACTTGACCATACTTAAGAAATGCCCAGTATGTTAAGCTACTGAGTCACAAGTGCATGACATTAATTGCACATTATTACTGAGAATGGGTGTTGAGATGTTCTTGTATTAGGGCTATATTGGTCACATGGTAAAAAACGATTTCATTTTTTAAATCTTCTCTCTCCTTTGGGGATGTAGAATTCAAACAGAGAACAAAGTCACATTGAACTTTTGTATTAGACGTTGAAAAACTTAAATAGTTTTCCCCCGATTTACCTCCAACTATTATTTTTATTAGAAAAATTTACAAAGGTGAGTAGTGCTAAGGGGAATAATCCTAGAATGTTTACCAAACTGTCAAAATCTTGACCACTGGATCAATTGTTGTGATGCTGTGTAGAGCTTTATTGATCATCTACATCTACTTTGAGATATGTTATTTCCTTTAGTCACACTCACCTTTGACAATTTTTGTAATTAAGATAATAGTTAGAGGTAAATCGAGGGGAAACTATAATACAAGTTTTTTGACGTCTTATACAAAAGATGTTTTGATAATTTTTGATCGTCAAGCAAATTTGTAAATAATAGATGAATAAATATAAAAGCAGATATATCACATATTTTTGGACATTGAAAATTATTGAAATAAATAGAACAGGGATTGTGTTGGGTTTACTTTGTATATTTGTTTTACGGTTTTATTATTAAAAGATTTTAACTTCTGAACAGGTGTTTGAAAATCAAAGCTTTGGAAAAAAAATTTGCAGCTTGCATTTTTGTCCCCTGCTTTCACTGAAAGGGGATATAATTATTGATCTGGGTCTTTTTTTCCCCGTCTGTATTTCTGTCTGTATGTAACATTTTTGATCCCTATGGCCTAAGAAAGACCTCTATTTTTTCTGAGGTCATTCAAAGGTAAAGGTCATAAATTCACCAATATTCTCCTATGCAGAGTTGTCGTTCTTTCTCTCAGAGCCGATGGTAGAGAGTGCAATATTCTGTCTGTTATTTCACTTTCATTTCCGAGCAATATGAAGTCAAAAGGTCAAGGTCATAAATTCAACATTCTGTGTAAAACGGTGTCTAAAAAGAGATACCAGTATCTCAAGAAGTTTTTGAGCTTTTGCAATAAATTTTTATGATAACGCCCTATTCTCCATAGCATCCTTCTTCAAGTGCCCCTTCTGATCCTCCTCTAGATCTGCGCATGCTTTTCTTTTTTCCTTTATGCGAGGGACACGGAATCTCTGAATAAGCTTGTAATATGTTTGTTTCAAACTTTCAATACATCAGCAAAAAAGAATTAGTATTTCTGTGCAAATTAAGAGTTAATGCAGTTGGCATTTTTGTGTTTTTATGTACGTTTATTGACAAAACACAAGTAAAGAATATTAGTTCAACACAAACTTGACACAAAAAAATATTAACACTGCCATGTTGTTGCCACAAACAGGCTGAATAAACATTTGATTATGAGTTCGGAACATGTTTTAAAAATTAATGAAACATAATAAAAAGGAATGTCTTATTGTTCCATTTTTGTAGCTTAGCAGCTGACATATCTTTCATTTGGATTGTATTCTGTGATTGGATAGTATTTTTCTGTTGCTACGAGACGATCCATGACGGCCAAAGTGACGCCGGAACTCTTCGTCTGTTATTCATTGCAATAGAACTGAACCTTTCTCTGGCCTGTGAACTGTCCACTGTACAAAACACATTGCAAAGTTACATATTACTTTTCAAATCTACGATAGCTATTTATCAAATTCATTTATGTCTGAAAAGGAAATTTCAACATATTTTGTTGAATAAAAAATGGATATTATAAGTGTGAACATTGACTGTCTCGTAGCAACTAAAAAGCTGAATTAAAATCGGACGTGAGTCTGTTGTAATTATCATTAATAATAGGTTTTGGTTGAAACACTACCCAATCACCACCACTTCCCTGCGGCATACCTGATCTCATCCTGGATCCCGCGCCCGATCCCCTTATCCCAAGAAGTGTATTGGACAACATTGTTGGTTTGGGATTCATGGCTGAAGCAAAGAAGTTGCCTTGACCCTTGGAGAAGTCAAATTCTTTGTGATTATGGTTGGCGTGATCATCGATACCATGGGACTGACCTCCGACCTTAGGATGTATCTGATTTTGCGAAGGTTGGAATTTGGTCAGTGCCATTGCAATGCCCACATTTTTCAAAGTGTCGGAGTCCGGGGCCTCTAATTCCGGAACTTCTAACTCCATTCCATCTCCGATGACGTTATCTATGGCCTCTCCAATAACCCCGTCACCGAGTTCTATTTCTTTAGGAACAATATCATCCAGATTTAGGTCTCCCATATCAGGCAACACTCCGTCTGTGTGTTTCTTATCGTCCGTCTTTTCGTCGCTGTCGTCTTTGCTGTCGCTCTTACTGTCTTTGCTATCATCGTCCTTTGAGCTATGATTTGAATTGCTGTTATCGTCGCCTGTGCTATCGTCATTGGAATCGTCTGCACTATTATCATCCGTGCTGTGATCGTTTGAATGACCGCCATTGCTATAATTTGATGAATTGCTGTCCCCTGAATTGTCGCTGTTTGAGTCTCCATCTCCGCTGTCGTCATTTGAATCATCACCCGAGGACATGTCGTTGCTTTCTCCAGACCCGCTGCCATGACTGTCATCACCTGAAGCCGACTCACCGGAACTGTCTCCTGATGAATCTGAGCTGCTCTCGCTACTGGAACTGTCTTCATCGCTATCAACGAGGTCAAAGTTCACAGATTTGTAGGATTCTATGTCTGTGTCCTCAAGGTCATAATCTGTTGTAAATAAAACAAATGAGCCCCATTTGAAATAAATAAGCATGATCAATTTATGAGATGAACACGTGACCAAGAGGTACTTTTACACATACTTTTATTTTTAGTACACCTTGGTCGAAAGAACTGTACAAAGCAGAGTCGCACATGAAGACTTAAACGTTTTAATAAATGTAGACAGAATTTTATATTACCATCATCATCAAAGTCGTCATCAAATATCCAAGCATCATTTTCGAACTCGAATGCGTCAACTGCACCATCACCTATAATGATAAAATGGCAAAGATGGATCAAAACTGATATAAAATTGAATCGATGATTAATTAAAACAAGTCAAAGAAATTCTAAGTTTATTAACTGTTAAGGTCTGCCACTTTGAAAGCGTCTTTGACGTGAAAGGCTCGCGGGTCGTGGCCGAGAGTTCGCGCAAACTCCTTAATGGTGATTTGTCCATCCGAGTTCGCGTCATAGAACGCCATTTTCTTTGGAAGCGGCGTAACGTGGAGTGAGTGTTCATGATTTGGCTGAAAACAAAGCAAAAAAAGTTATGATATCTTTTAATTTAAGAGGTACATGTTTATGTAATACATGTAAGGCCTAATCTCCGATTTATATTAGATCTATTTTGCTTTTAACATAAGTTCTTAGTTTTGTTTTGCTTTTTACATAAGCTGAGTGACATGCAAAGTATCACTGTAGAGTACTTTCTGTAAAAAAATTGGGAAAATATTATTTGTTCTCAATTTTTGCCAATGGAATTTGAGTCCATGGCATGATAATGAAGTATATGGAAACAAGAAGGATTTTCTCTAAAATTGTAAATATATATATTCTAATAATAGAATGGAAGGTAAAAAGCTTGGTTTAAAAATAAGAGGAGTGATATTTGCAATTAGAAGTTGTAGTAGAATGAAAACTCCTTTAAAAGGGCATTGTTGATAATTTATGTGAGGAAAAATTAACGCATTTTTAAAAGAATGTTTTACAGTTTATTATAATGGAATTTTCGTTACTCTTACCTGAACTGTCGATCGGCGGACTCGAACCCTTTCTATTTTGTTCTTTCCAGCACAGACACTCCTCAAAATAAATCCACAACTATAATCAGGATCGATATTTCCTAAACTTTTCCGACACACCCTCGGGCTGACTGTTCGACATTGCCCCTTAAAAATGTCATTTAACGACACCCGAAGATGCCATGCCGAAGATGCCACAATGCAGGTGGTCAAAAAAATGAAAGAGTGCTTGTTCATGTTTGTAGAAATCTTCAGAAGCCTCCGGTGTGCCTTGTGAACTACTTCTTTCTGAAGAACCTTTTGGTCTTCAACAAACAACTAGCTTGTTAATGACCTGATGATTGGTCAAAACACCAATATCCTATCGTAGGGGGGCGAAAAAATGGTGTATAGACCGTCAAAAACGGAACTTAGGCCAAGAAAATGTAAACTCTGTTTCTCATTCCGAATATTTCTGTTGTGAGGGTTATATTTTTGGATAATTCAAACAATATTACAATATATGAAATAGAATTATTCTTTCATTAATATTTTACAAATGTTTTGATGCTGATTGAGGATAAAAATGACTAATATTGAATATCACCCAAATCTCTCAATGAATGACACACTGGATAACATTGTAATATCGTGTTTAAATATATTTTCAAAATCAATTTTTTAAACATAAAAGGAAATCATTTGGATTTGTTAATAATTTTATGTCTAAGCATTTTATCTTTTTAATTTGATTATTTGTATGCAATAAACACACATTGTTCTACCGTGGCCTTAAGGCAGTTTTCTTTTGTCCATTTGTCTAATGCAAATAACGTGTAAAATAGCTTTCCGTGTTTATAATGACCATTTCAATAAAGAACGTGATACACTAGCAACTTTACTTGCTGGTGTACTCACGTAAAACATACACACAGTATTATTGTGGAACAAATGTTCTAAACATTGTGTTAATTAAAGTCAATTTCAAGTCATATTTCACTTAAAACAAAGTACTGTCATGTAAAATACATGACAAATTAAAAAGTGTTTGTAATAAGATAGAGAACTTTATTTGACAAATGCCTTATGGTTTCCTGAGAGTTTTAAAGGAATTTTTATGCCTAAGAAAGCCCATTTAAATTTTTAACTACTACAACTTTTTAGCACCTAAAGAATAAAAGAAAAGATAAATGAAATCGGCGTTCTATCGATCATTATATACTATGTGTGTCAGTTAGAACAAGCGTGTTATACAATGTACAATATATATAGGCCTACCCACATCATATCTGTAAAACACTGAGGTATATTGTATCTGTCTTCAGTGGAGTTTGCCTCAAGCGTTTAAAAATGAGGGTCTGTTTATTCCTGTAATAATGTCACTTTCTGCGTTTTAAAAAAGATTAAAAGTGACAAAAGAATAATTTTCAAAAATATGCTAAATAATCTTATAAAAATCCTCAGTAAACTAAGGTCTCCACTAAATTTCCATCCAAGCCCTTGAATCTAATGGTTTTTACCATGTAAATATTGTATAAACTCTTCCAACTCCTAACGATGGGGCAACAAATTCCAATTCCCTTCAATAACGTTCACTTTGTGCATTGTTTGGTTGAAATTTGCTCACTGGTTCTGTAGTTATGAAAAATTTGAAAAGTCAAAAACCGAGAAATTTAATGTGTGTTTGGAGAGAGTTGCAGTAATCTCTGGTTTTTGTTTTCTATGATCAGGGAGCGTACCATTGGATAAAAGATGACCACTAGGGGTCGAAGGATTGGTCACATTACACTCGGACCGTGTAAATCTGGTAGCAGTATAAGTCCAGAACAAGTTCAAAGTAATTACGGTCCACATGAACAACATGTATAGCGACTGTACAAACAGTTAATGTCCCCGACTTCTGATTCCAACGGGGGCCTCGTATGACAAAAATGTTGTCGTTCGACTTGTAGCATATGGATATGTTTCCTAAACATGATTAATTAAAAATGACAAATTATTAACAGTGTATATGATTTGTAGAAACAATTTATTTACAAAATGACATACCGAACTGAGGTTATTTGATTTTTTTAACCTACTTTCTACAATTAATCTTCCAATTTTAAAGTCGTAATACGCAGTTAATTTTAATGATTTTGTCTAAATAATAGCAGAAATTTAAAAAATGTACAAAACTGTGTTAAAACATTTTTAAATTAATTATAAATTTTGGTAAGTGTACAGATAGACATTGCTTTAGATGGACTGTGGAGTACTGCCAAACTTTCATAAATCCTATATACTTAGTACTCAGTGATAGCCTTCAACGCCCTGCATGACAAGGCTGGAGTTTGTTTTTTACAAGTTCAGGGTTGACGACAATTTAATTTATATATATACGCAAAAAAAAAATGAAAAAAAAATCAAAGGTTATTAATTTTTAATAAACATGTGCTTATCTGTAATTTTGCATAATAATACATGTACATGTAAATTTACATATACATGTATATATCAGTATTAATAAAAAAAAATGTTCTTTATTTTTCCAAGCTCATATTAACAACATATATTCAATTACAAACTTGACTATTTTTATTTAATTAATTTTTTGTCTAACACAAATTTATCAATATTCTAAATGAAAATCACCATCAGAAAATATGTAAAAAGTCAATAGATAGTCAATCTAATTAAAATTAGATGTTAGATCCGCTCGCATAATTGCTACTGTATGCGAACGGATCTAACATCTAATTTTAATTAGATTGATAGATAAAATGCTTTGGATCTGATTTTTACATTTCACTTCGTTTTCAAAATTATCCAAAAAGCAAATATGGACAGACTGAGCTCGTGTGCGAGGGCTGGACGTTTGTCCCCTGCATTGCACAGATCGTGCTGACAAGAGCACAACTCCACCGTCAAAAGATATTTCGTCTCATTGATGTGAAGCAGTTTGCAGGAATTTTTTATCTTCACTTTTTGGCATTTTCTTTGATAGAATACATCTCCTGTATCAACAACAACAACAACAAAATATCTCGAATACTTGTGACTATTTTGAACTTGAAATGATCACCAAAATTATTGGAACATTTGAAGCAAGAATGTCTTGCAGGTTACCGTCTTTGAAAATGGTCTTGGCCTTAATGCAACTGTACAGGGAGTTTTTGCATTCTGTTATTCTGACGTCATCATGGTCAGTATCCAAAGGATCGAAACAGGAGTTGGCGGATTTATTTCCAATCAGATCACATTCATAACACCGGAGAGGCGAAACTGGAATAAAACGGAAGTCTTATGCTACATTTCCACCTTTAATGCACACATTTTCTTTTCATTCAAAGGACTATCAATACCTCCAATATACCACACAGATAAAAGACATCTGAAGGCATTGGGTAAGAATAATATCCTACTTTTAGAAGAGTTGTTATAATAAGAAAGAAAAATTAAAAACACTGAATTCCTAATACTGAAAAAAAAACAATATATAACCCCCTCCCCATCACCTCTTGCACACACCTCCAGCACAGCGGACACCCTTATTACTTTACATGTTTACATATACATTGTATCCCCATCTTAATGCGGGGGTAAAATAAAATCAACCATGCCTATGCAGGAAAAAGAGCACCAAAGACCCAGATTTTTACATCATTTCCTGGTTAACAAGATGAAGCAGAGTAATAAATGGGTAGGCTTTACCTGATTGGCTGAATTCAGGTATGTAAATATTTTCATTTTAAAGTAAAAATATTAATGTTTGCAATAAATGATGGAATGTGGGAATATTACAGAAAATATAGAAATACCAGGGGAGATTGTAGGAGTGGGGATTGATATTTTTGGCAGGGTGTCATTTACTGGCGATCGCTGTAAGTTCTAAATAAATGCAAATTTGACCTATAAACGCCGCGGCAAGGTATATTTTTTTTCCATGTTTTTAATAAGTGCTTAGAACAAACTTTCAAATGATATCAGAGATTTGTTTGAACGGGAATTAGTAAATTACTTGGAGGGCATAAGGTTTGTATAGAGTTCTATGGGAAATTAATTGGTACTCTTTTCCCTATAATGTTATCATATTTAAGGTTCATTGACCTACTGAGAAGAGCGATAACTGATAAAGGGAAAAATTACTCTCATTGTAAAAATAAAATACAAACTTTTATACGCTACTCCTTTAGGAACATATAATAGGCGCATTTGTAAATTAGATTTGTTTTGGAATATCGTTGGTGTACTCAAGGCCAATGAACCTTACTTATCGAGACATATACTTATAGAGACATAAACATGACAAAAATAAAAATATTATTAGAATGATACTACTTTATACAATGACAAAATATGCTCACCCAAATTACGCAGAAGTCCAACTAATAGAAAGTAAGATACCAAACTGTTCATCTTTTTCCCAGTTTCATGATATCGGCATTGCTTGATCGAATTAAAATGGAAATTGGCGTTCCCTAGTTAGATGCGGGACTGTGCACGCGTATGTAAATAATACAGGTTCTTATCAGCATCTGTTTAAATTGATTGTTACAATATGTTTTGTTTTTGGGCTAGTAGATCCCTGAAAAAAAAAATTCTACCCCTGTTTCACATAAAGTAGAATTATTACTGCGTTGTTGATTGGATTTGGGTAAATAAAAAGCGACAATTTAACGAGCAATTTCTCTGCTTATCTTATGTATGAATGTGTGTGCATTTATTTCAAGTCAAATTAGATCCTTGTTTCCATTTTCCCCCCTCGTCTTACCTCCACGGAGTTTTATTTTCATCGTATAAAACGAAATCCCAAGAATAATCAATTTCTTGAAAATTTAGTTTTCAATATGAATATATTTTATGAAATAAATATTTGAATCGTAACGTTTCCATATTTATTTCCTCTTGCTGAGGATCAAGTGGGTTAAGGTACTCCGATCCTCAGCCAGGAAAAATAACTCTTTAATTCATAATTTAATTCAAAAAGTCTCAAAATGAAGCTTGAAAATTGAATCTTTTCATGCAACAATTTTCGTTTTATAACTCTCAATGTGCTTCAAGGTTATTTGAAGTTCTCAGAAAGGTCTTATTAAAAAAGTTGAAAATTTCACCCCATTAAGGTATTTTAAAATTACATATTTGAAGAAATTGAGGTTCATTTTAAACAACCATACATACCAATGTTTATTAACATGATATGAAATTAGAAGTCATTAATAGTGTCTTGCAATGATAGGAAAATCTTTATACGCTATGCATTGTAAAGTGATCGAAGTAAAGAGACGAAATTAAAGTACCTTATATGTATAAAATTTGTGAACTTTTTTTCATAAGCCTGGACACCTATTATTTTTATTTCTAAAATGTGTTTGTTGATCAAATTTGAATTGGAAAATGCATTGTAGGTGGTTTTATTCGCATTTCCTGAAAATTTATTTGAGATTTACTATATTTCCCTATATAATATGATTAACTTAACAGATGAATTTTCAAGAATTATCATGAGTAAAAAGACGTTACTTTAAGAATTCAGAGACATTTTAGTGAGCAATTTCAGTTAGTCAATGCCTGATTTTCAGACCTAAGGTGCGGAGTACCTTAAAACAGAAAGTGCTGTCTCGATCGAAGCATCTATATGGATCAACGAGACAACAAACTTAAGTTATTAATTTCCATCAGATAAAAACGAAAAGTCTACAAAAATTGCTGACCTATAAATTCTATAGGTCACAAATTACCAGGGGGTCCGAAACAGTCACAATTTCCAGGTTGGGGTGACATTGGTTAAATCAATATAAAATATTTAGATGTTATCAAATGAATATACATGTATAATAAATTCCCTGATAGACGTGGACTTTAAGGCACAGTCATGAAGAAATATATAAATTACTTATTTATGATATCATCTATTACATATTATAATGATATTGTATTAAATTAAAACTTCATGTGGAAAATTGTCTTCACTGGGATAAAGGTTAAAAAAAGTTCCTTCAGTCAGCTATGTTGAATGCTTTAATGTACATCGCCACAACAATATCAAACAACATGCGCGGATCAAGAGCCCCCCCCCCCGCCCCCAATGGAATTCGCAGAGTCATGAAATGAATATACTGATGAAACTAAAAGTGACCTGGGACCCACAGGTACTTATGAACAGGAACCCCCCCCCCCCCGATATTAAACCCCGGGGCTTATTGGACATTTTTTTTCACAGATTATATTTATTACACTTATTCGTCGTGTGTACAATAGGGAAAAATCGTCAAAACCCCCAAATAACCGCTACACACACACACACACACACAAAAATACCCCACTATACATTATAATGTATAATACTTATAATGTATAGTAGGGTATTTTTTGTGGAGCGATTTTTGGGGGTTTTTGACGATTTATTCATATTGTACACATGACGAATAAGTGTAATAAATATAATTTGTGAAAAAATGTCCAATAAGCCCCGGGGTTTAATATCAGTGGGGGGGATCCTGTCCACAAGTACCTGTGCTGGGACCCCTTGGAAAACACAGATCTGTGCCAAGAATTTGTCTGAAAAACCATCACCACCACGAAATAGGTGTTCCACCTTTAGGATTGGATTTTACGGGGGGGGGTTTTGAAAAAAAATTATTATTTTGTTTATTTGTTGTTTGTTTGTTTTTTGTTGTTGTTGTTGTTTGTTTTTGGCTTGTCAAGAAATTTCTTGGTTGAAGCCCTCTGGAAAAAAAAATCCTCGATCCGCAGCTGAAACACCCTTTGTAAAGGGACATCATATTAAAGGATTACATTACGGTATCTTTATAAAAATTAATGCAAAATATACTCCCTTTGAAGAAATAGATTGCAGTTTGTTGTAAATCAACATGTTCATGACCTCCGAGGGATTTGTTGGACCGCAATGATTCTATAAAGAAATATTATGATATACGTGCATACATTAAAATATTCAGATTAAGAACAGCAAAGCCATGCTTTTCATACTGATTTGGAAGCATCCTCAGGTAATATATATTTAATTGTTTTGATTGATCCTCGGAGAAAGAATGGGGTCACAAAGGATGATCAAAGTTTTATAAATGATTATAAAGTTTTAACCTTATTCTCAAGAACAGAAAAGCCATAATTTATCAAACACTTGATATGGAAGGGTCTCCAAGATAGTGTAGATTAAAGTTTGTTCAAATCATGACTCGGGGAGTATGATGGTACCACAGTGGGGATCAAAGTTTTAAACAGGAATATATGGGGAAAACTTTAAGATAAACGTCAAAGCCATAACTAGTCATATTGATATGGAAGCATCCTCAGATAATACAGATTTCAGTTTGTTCAAATTATGACTCTGGGGTTGGATGAGGGCACAACTGGCTTTCAAAGTTTAACATAAGAATACCTAGGAAAAACTTAAACGAGAGGAGCAAAGCCATATTTAGTAATACGAATATGGAAGATAGTGAACATTCAAGTTTGTGCAGTTCCTGACACTTTTGGGGTTAGGGTGGGTCACGACTGAATATATATATATATATATATATATATATATATATATATATATATATATATATATATCATATATATATATATATATATATACAACATGATGTAATCAACACATATGCTGTTTATTATATATATATATATATATTATATATATATGATAATTGCGTAGGATATATATAAAACAAATATAACTCCTATGGTTCAAAATTTATGGCAAAAGTTCTGATTAATGGCTACAAAAAATACTATTTTTAGCATTTGATACAATATGAAAATACTTAGGTCACAGTCACAAGGTCACAAGGTCAATGACTTTGATGTCATTTGTATGAGCTTTATTAGTGAAGTATACATACCAAATATGAAGTCTCTATCTCCTATGCTTCAAAAGTTATGCAAAAGTTTGAAAAAGCTGTTTTTAGCATGTAGGTCACAGTCAAGGTCACAACGTCATTGACCTTGGTGTCTTTGAAAGAACTTTATTAGTGGAGTATGCATACCAAATATGAATATAGTATATATATATATATATATATATATATATATATATATAAAGTATATAATAAACTTATCATCTCAAGGTTCACAAGGTCATTGTTATGTTATTTGAAAGAACTTTAGAGTGGATTATGCATACCAAATATGGTTAAAGTTCAAAATTTATGGCAGCAGGCAGACAAACATACAAACAGATAAACAGACAAACAGACAGGACAAAAACAATATACGCTATGGATCTATCGATCCAGGCGCATAACAAAAAAGGTACAGCGGGAAATATTGGCGAAGCACGGTGCGGTAGGCCCGCAGGCGTTGTTGCTCATAAGTCTCTTGTCAATATGATATATCCCGGTGAGATTGAAATGCATGTAAAAGATACCAGATGCAGAGTCTGAGTCTGGCACATCTGTTTCATATTTGGATATTTTATTAGAAAAAGACGTTAAATGGCTGATTTATAAACCCGATGACTTTAACTTTTTCAATCACCAATTTCCCTTACTTATGCAACAATATACCTTTATCACTTGCATACGGGGTTTACATCTCTCAGTTGATTCAGTACCGAATCCAGACTCTGAGAGGGGGACGGGGGTTTCAGCCTCTCTCCCTTGGGATTTGCTAAAAAGAGAGAGAAAGAAGAGAGTCCACAATCTATAATATGTTGTGTTTTTACTATAGAAAATGTTCAGTAAAGGGCTAATGTTAGTAGTAATATATGAAGGAATTCGAGTGTGAAAACAAAATCCCCCCTCCTCCCTCTTACAAAATAGGTTTTTCGGGTTTGAAGATTTATTTAAAAAATTCCTTTCTGACCAAAACCTTTCAGGTAATCCATAATTTATTCCCAGGCTGATCCATCTCTCACTTTTAAAAACGATACTTCATCCTTGTTTCCAATTAATTTGTTTAACTTTATCCACGGGATTTTGAAGTTTTCATCGTAAAAAAAATTCCCCATCCTCAACTAAAAAAAACATAAATGAGGGTGGGAATTTTTTTACGGTATTTTTTTTTTTTTTTTTTGTGGGGGGGGGGGGGGGGGGGGGGGGGGGGGGGGGAATAACAACGTCAGGCTCCTGTGCTTTATATAAAGGTACGATAAAACAACTCTTTTCCTCTTCAAGCCCCCTTTTGAAAATTTCTGGATCCGCGCCTGTGATTTGATACGAAAGAGCATGCTCTATATGTCTCTGTCAGTATGAACATATTTTTTTAAACGGTGTAAGTTATTGACAAAGAAGTTTATAAGAAACAGTTTACGGATTTCGTTATTTCCCCATCATGACAAAAAACGCGCGGCGGGTGTGACAGGTCGGCAGGGGATGCTTCCTCCTCCATGGCACCTGATCTATCATTGATTTCATTGTTACTCATGCAGTCCTTCTAGAGTTATCTTCCGCTACGCTCTGTAGATGTTTGGGGCGAGGAGGGGGGGGGGGGTAGCGGGAAAGACATAAATGGTTCCTTTCCCCTATCCTGTTTTTTAACTGAATTGAAGACTAGGCAAAATTTCAGATAATCGAAAATAATTGAAACGTGTACACACGTAACTTTCCATCGTTTTGCAAACTAATTTAGAAGTATATTGGCCACAGGCACTTGACGTTACATATATTTTTCTCATATTTCTTTGTATAAGAAAAATATGTAACGTTAAGTGCTTGTGATATTGGGTGATTGTTCAAATGATCTATGCAGACTATGGGATGCCTGTCACATCATTTATCAGAGGAGACAATTAAATGAGAATAGTAATATTTGTAGAAGTTAGGGCTTTAAGGACCGTGGATATCGGCCTTAAACAGTCTTCAACCTCGAAGACACAAGTTCTAGGGCCCTGCCAGAATTACTAATTTACACACACACTGTAACCTGAACAAGCCCCCCCCCCCCACTGGCCAACAAATGTAGTAGGAAAGGAGAAATGCACGAAGAAAGCACATGGCTGGACCGGAAATCGAACCCGGGTGCATTACTAGTCAGGTGCTCTAACCACTGAGCTATCCAGGAGGGAGGAGTGTAGAAGTTCGGGCTTTACGGACCGTGGATATCGGCCTGGATAGCTCAGTGGTTAGAGCACCTGACTAGTGATGCAGGGGTACCGGGTTCGATTCCCGGTCCAACCATGTGTTTATTTTGTGCATTTCTCCTTTCCTACTATATAGTAAAACAAAAGAGACATGAACCGTGACAGTCTGAAATGTCCCACTGAGTGGGTCCGGTGGACATTTCAAAATAATACATTGCAGGCCCCTGTAGAAACGGTTTTAGAGGGCGTCTGTCATAAATATCTAGCAATTAATTTATAATTTGACCATTTGAAATAATGAGCTAACTATATGTAAGATATTGATATTGCACTTTAATTTTTGGAAAAATCTTACCGCGCTCTGGACACTGAATGTCGTTTTCTTAGGACTTTTTTATGTCACTAAAGCCTCCAACATGGGGTATGTTAGTACAATTAAAGATTTACAATTGAACAAATCAACATGTGAACGGTTAACCTACTGAACTACAAAATGAGCTAGTTGTCAAGGATTCCATGAGAATAATTTTCAGTACGAGTTACCTTTCTCGATTTTGATGACGTAATTGACCGGAAGTAGAGAAATTGACTGCGAAACGGGACAATGTCAGTGCTAGAAAGGGTGAGTTAGATGTTTTAGAAACATTATGGGAAGTAATTTTGTAGGTATAAAGGTGGTGCCATAGATCAGGTCTTGTGTGAACGAAAGCAAGTAAAAATTACTGACTTGTAAATAGGTCAATCGTCAATCAATTGATTATTTGATCCTGTCCCAGTTTCAAACACAGAAATTTTGTTGTTAACCACATGGTTGGACCATTGTTCATTTGTTGGCGAATGATTTGAGAGAAAAGCTGATGAGCGTCATATTATTGTCGTGCTTCACAATTAATTGTTGTTTTACTTAATACTTATTCATGTATATTTCTGCTATTTAATCCATGTCACATAAACCATCGGAAAACTGTCATGTGCTAGAAGTAGAAATCAGCTGATTTGTAGTCTCCATCATAGTCCATGTTTACTCAGCAACTTTGATAGGTATTGTACACTATGTAGGTAAAGAAAATATGAGTTCATGATAAATTGTTATTCCAATTTACAAGAAGTATACATCATTTATAAAAAATGGAATTGTTTATCTTAGATGTGATTTGGTTGTACAATGGAGTCTGACTGTGCTGTTCAAATCCTGTTCATGTCATTGGGATTTTGTTTATAGCTATAAATAGAATTATTTGTATGTTGTGAGTGAAATAAAAAGCAATGACCTTTGTCACCTTTGTATATAATGATTGTAGGTATTTTCCATCAAAATTTTCCCATCCCATTTACTACAGTAATTAGATATAATTTTAGTTGTGTAGAGAAACATTTGACAAGTAATTGAAACCAAAATAATTTGCATTGAACAAGCACTTCATAATTCAGACACAAAATTTCCTGTCTTGTACAAAATATTAAAATAACTTACACCTTAACTTAAATTTATTTCTCACAAAATGAATTACAGGTAAAGTTAATGTTAGAGATAAAAGCCAACTAATGAAATAACTCTGTCATTGTCTATTTGTCGATGGTTTTAAAGGTAATTAATGTATTAATATATCATTTACCAAGTGTTTTGTAACACTACATCATTCTCCATCATAATTGCAAGCTCCAAATGATGGCTTTTAAATCCACATGTATATTATTTTTTGTCCCCAGCTTTCACTGAAAGCGGGTGATATTCATTTGGGTATATATCCATCCATCTGTCTGTCTGCATGGCATTCTGTCTTTACATAACAATCAGAAAGATGAAGTTCAAGGTTGACTGTTTTTTCTTTATCCATCTGCATGATTTTTCTCAGTTCCTTTAACTTTTTCTCTTTTTTTACTGAAAAGGGGTACCATACACAAATTCCCTTAATAGGCTTGTTCATCCTTCTTTCCAGTGGATTGCAGTATTTTGCGTTTATTGTTTTGATTTCATTTTGAGTACAGTGTGATAAAAACTGTTACAGTTGTACTCCATTGTTGTATCTAGCTGCACCAGGAGGTCAGCATTGTCTATGATTTGCGTCAATGACCCTCATCCCAGGTGATCATATCTTACAGAATTTAAGGTATCTAATGTTATCAGGACGAGATGTTTACATTGTCAATGATCCATTGATGTCTAGTATCTCTGTGTAGATATGAAAGCTGCAGATTGAAAGATAAAATATTTTGTATTGACATTGTAATGCTCAAAAGCTTCCACATGAACTCTACAATAGAATGTACTTAATTCCTGCTGACACCGTGGTCATGATAGGAATAATTTCCAGGTTTTTTTTTAAACTCATATTTTTTAATGCTTGCATGAACTTTGAGAACATTTTTTATAGTACTTGAAGTACTTTACATGAGTTGCAGTTTTCTTTAATATATTTCTTACAAGAATTTAACCTTGCCCTATATTTTAAAGCTGACAATCATTGAAGATCTGTATTAATTTTATCAGTTAAATGAAGAAGACTAACAATTGTATTTTACAGTAAATGTCCAAGATATTGACATATATACATACAGTGTATTTATGACTGGAGACAACTTGAGAAATGGGTCAGTGCTTTTACAATTGTTGATAAATTACGCATCAGCCATTTTTAAATCAAACACCATTGACACAGTATTTCTGAATGTACCTCTCTAGTTACTGGCACCAGATGTGAACAGCAATCTGCATATTATATGTGAACCAGATTCACATGATCTTTAGTAAGATTGATGGCTCAATTAGTACCAAAGTAGTTTCAATTAATTAAACTTTTCTTGCACTGTTTGAGTAATTACGCCAATATGGAGATGTATTGGAGTGTTGGGATGTGAATTAAAAAACACTGCAGGTATCTGCCAACATAGTTATGCATTGGGGTGTCTACAATGTTAGATTTTCCAAAGGTAACAGTTTTGTACGAGTGTCGAGTGGTACGTTTATGTACACATCTAGTTAGTCTTCTAGTAATTAGTAACAGATCATATCAGCTGACAGCTTTAGCAGGTGATACACTTTTGCTTCTAGGATTCTGGAGTTATTGTAATTATGCTAGTAAATGTTGAAAACACAGCTGTCTGAAAGCTTGAACTTTAGGAAAAGAAACTTGAATGGTGGCCAATCAGGGAATAAATTGAGCTCACAGGAGAATGTTTATTTCCTATAGAAATGCCTTGTGGGCCTGAAACAAGTGAGGATGCCGGTCGTCAGGGATAACCTTCATGTTTATATCTGATAAGAAACCTGTTGTAGGTAATTAATAGGCATGTCAGCCACCTCAGGCATGACTGGTACTACTGATTCTTATATTGCTACATTAAAATATGGGGGTAGATTTTGGTATACATGTATTGAGTATACATCTGAAATTGCCTTTTAAAGTAAAATTTAATATAAATTTTTTCTAAAAGTTTTGATGCACTTCATTCTAGCCATAGATAGGGCTGTATCAATATATCAATATATCGATACGTATCGATATTCCAGAAAAATATCGTATCGAAAACTTGCTTCCAATACGTATCAGACAAGCAGTTTTTCTTCTAATTCTGTTAAAAAGATGGGAATTCTAATCAGCACAGATTTTATTTCACTTTTTTGAATTAAAACTGATCAATAATTATAGATTTATAAAAGAAATTACACAGTTTTTATAGTTATAAAATACATAACAATTTTATTTTAACATGTTGATTTTACAGTCATTAAAAGTTTCGATTGTAAGTGTCTTATTTACTGACTATGGGATAATTAAGAACCTTGAAATGGGTAATAAAACATCAATTTTTTATGACTCCATGAATTAAATGATTAATAAGCCTTTTTGATGGACTTGTTAAGAGTCCAATATATCGCATATCGCTTTAAAAAATATTGTATCGTATCGAAATGTTTTGCTCAATACACAGCCTTAGCCATAGACAGTATATGTCACAAATATTCTACAGACTTTTAAAGGGATATTAATTGATCTTGCACAAAAAAAAAAAACGGAAAGAATTTTGCAATTCTGAAGTATACTTTCTATATTTAAACTACATATGCATTGTATGCTCTTGGGATATTCTAGTGTAATCGGCTGGGGCTTTATTTCTCAGAAACGGAACAAATTTTACCTATGCATACTATTTGTACGTGACAGCATGAACAATTTGATTGCAGTGTATCTCCTTTCATGCTTTGGACAAAATGACAATGTCACATTGTGCAACAGGATGTTCTTTAAGGAAAGACATGCCTGATGCAATGAACAATTTTACCTTGCTCTTTTATATAAGTCTTTTAGAATAGTACTTAGACATTAGCTTTAATTTATATAATAATATGGTCATTTAACTCTTACAGAGCCTTTGAATTAACAAGAAATTATAAATGCAAAATTGCAAGAGGGTCCAATTTGGCTAATGGGACAATTTGAAAGTATTTTGATGGGAAGCTCTCAGCGTATGGCTTTTTTTTTCTCTCTTCTCTCTCTCTCAAGGAACAATCTGCAGGTCTATGTTTGATACATTTATATTAGTAACTGAAAAATGTTTGCTAATTAAATCACATCTGTGTAATTTTCTGTTTCAGAGAGAGATTTAGTGCTGTTTATTATGTGCAATTTATTTCAAGACGTTTAATCAGGACTTATCAATAGTGTTTAAATGAAAGGGAATAAATCCTAAGATATTACCTTCTCTATCACAATATTTACTGTTTTCTTTAATACCAGTACCCTGTCTTCATTCCTTGTACTGTGACAGTGTTGTTTCTTAATTTCATTCGGGGTTCTTCTGTATATCGTGGATTCATCTGAATGTGATTCTTTATTTGTAAAAGATTTGATTGGACGATACCTGCATAATATAGAGGCCATACATATTTCATCTGTCTCTGTGGGCCCTGATTTAGATCGATGGTGGTCTCCTATGAGGTTTCGGAATGTTTCACACAATTGAACTGTGGTAGAAAAAATTAACATTAGTAAGACCCATGTAATGATGGATAAGCAGTCTTAAATGATAAAAGCCTCCGAGACTAGTTAAATTAATTCAGTGCAGGTAGCATGATGTAGTGGAATGATTCTTTTCTAAATGTAGGATATTTAACTGGTATTCTTCAGAGTCTGAAATCTAGGACATATTGATTGTGGTCCATATTGTATCTATCTTAGCAAAAAAAAAGATTTCAATGAAAACAGTCAAATTATATAATCATTTGTTTACATAATAGATTTGGTAAACAAGAGTGTTTGTTTGTAGGTTATGTAGAGTAGGGCCAAGAAGTTGACAAATAATGTTATAATATTCCATTCAAATTTCACTCCTTACAAAACTTAATTTCTGATTTTTGTTGTAATGAATTTAAGCTTTAGTATACAGAGCTTGTAACAGTCTATTGGGATGAGAAATTTATACAGGTATAAAATTGTTGAGGGAAAAAAATTGTAAACTTGAAAGATACAGTACCTTGTAAGTAAAAGAGGCTAGGTGTCAGATTTATTATCTGATAAATTGTTCACGTGGACATTCCTGCATTTAAAAAAATAGTTTTATTTTGTTTTTTGGTTAAAATTTATGCATAATTTAAAAGTATTCAAACCACTTGCAGTTCTT